CAGGGGCGGAGCCAGCCTGTCAGACGAGGGGGGGCCTAGAGGTGAAGGGGTGGGGGGCTACGAGGGTTCAGGGCAGCGCCCTCGAATTTTTTTTTTTTTTGAATACGTTATTAATTCATTCTTTGTATACGTCATTTCCAACCTAAGAACGTATTTACGACATTCTCCACGGAAATGTTTTATTATCAATGCATTTTAGCAAAATCCAATTTAGGTAAAGGAGAGAAACAAATTATTACATAGTTTTATGTCCATTTCGAGTGGTGATATAACTAAGAATAAATCAAATTGGAGTTGATTAAGGACAATTGATGACCATCTCGATTGCACTTGATCAATAAGAATTATTGAGAGAGCAATATGAAGAAATTCACGTGTTTTGGGGGCTAAATTCAATACTTGGAGATTTTGTAAACTAAATTACAATATTTCGAAACTTGAAACAAATCAATTATAGATGATTGTGGAGGATCAAGATCAAAAAATTAAAGTTAACTCCTTCATGTAACGAAATGGAAAGCCTTTCTTTTCTAATCAAAGTCCAAATTTGACTTTTGGTATCTGACAAGTTAGAAATGGAAAGCCTTTCTTCTGGTGCACAGCTGGGCCTTCCTTTAACTTAAAACTAATAAAAAAAAAAAATTATTTGAGCCCGAAGTTCAGTGTGGGCATGTGCCCACACTGGACTGTACATGGCTCCGCCTCTGATCCTGAGTATCCCCTCTAGATAGAAAAAGATTTTCTTTGAAAAGTAATTTTACACCATCTGCTAGAGCTTAAAGAATTCCCAAGGGGACGGCGTATCCAGGTCCAATACGTTGTTGTATCCCCTGAAGAACAAAGATCTGAAAGAGAAATGCTGGAGCAAGTATCAAGTTATATTAATGTATTGACGGATATAAATTACTTCTATAAAACAACTTGAATTCAAAGATTTTTAGCATGGAAACTAATCATTTACGTCAATGAGAATCTTTTCGATTTCAAAGTCTGCGATGATAAAAATAAATAAATATAAAATTTAGAGTCGGCTAGATAAAAATAAACACTAAAAGCACCAATGTAAGAATTCAATTTCAAAACTTTGAAGTGCGTTATGAAAATTTAAAGATGCAATAAAACTTAAAATTTCGAAAAATGAAAAAGAGCAAACTAGTGACTATCACATAGAGACTCGTTACTTTTTCAATAATTACGAAAATCACTCTCATGTTGTTTGTTTTCCATAACCAGTTATTAGTAATATCTAACCTATATTTCTTTTGCATTTTGTTACTTAATATTTAAGATTTTTTTCTCACTTTTAATTGGACGGGAGGATTGCTTGTAATTGAAAGAAATAATCTTTCGAAATATTTTTAACAACGTTTAAATAAAATTATATCTTTATACTTTAATTATTAAATTAATATAATACTATAAATACTGTTCACTTTTGATTTCAGGCCGATGATATGACCAATAGATTTTGATTTCATTTACGTCCACACTTAAGGCTCTTGTATACTTGGATAAATTGTTAGAAGCGTGTGACCTTCTCCGTTGGTGGAGGAGATGATCGCAATCACTTCGACAAACAAGTCAGTCAATTTATATATTTGGGTGTGAAATGAAAGGAAGGCTTGAACCATGAATTTGTGTACAAGCACCAGCTTGTAGAGAGAAAATGGTGAACAATAATACTATTAAGAGTATAAAATTGTAGTACTTTCAAATGACACTAAGTATGAGTTTTTATAGTAAAAGAAATGAAATGATTATTGTAGGATGAAGACATGCGGCCTCATCTTAATGAACGAAATGTCTTCTCTTGAGTATCACTTATGTAGTATTAGGTTCAAGGGCATTAAATAATTCTAAAAAGTAACCACCATATATTATAGGTTTGACATCTGAAGAGTAGATTGATGTTGATTGAGATGCGCTTACTGTAGAGATGTCACATAAATCAATGTTAGATCTTGTACGTAAGATCTTTTGGAAGAGGCGAAGTAAGAGGATGCCTTCTCATGTTACGAGGCTAATTGCTTCGGATTTACTTTTGCAGCAGGTCGTGGCATCCCGTCTCGGCCATGGAGGGTTATGCCCTTACACGGCGCTTCGGCTGCAGTGATACATCACTTCGACTACTCATATTTGATGGTCTCAATTGGACTAGATAGGATAGTAGTATGGAGTGTGGTCCTGATTGATTCATTACACAATTGTCACTTGATTATCATTTGATGTCTCGTCATATGAGGCGTAACCAATACCATTGACATGAACTCAGTAGGTTATAAATGTTTAAATAAATCAATTTTTCAAACCGGCTTTGTTGACCCGCTGACCTGTGGAGTCATCAGTTATGGGCTTCATGTCGTTCAAACAAAGAGGCACGTTAATATCATATACATCACCCATGTCTCGTTCAATTTCTTCTCTCCCATATAAGTCTTAGCTTTTGGCCTCCAATCAATCATCTCTCTAATCCCTCTCTCTCACACACAAGAAAAACTGAGAAAAATGGAAACAATTTCCAATCCATTTAATGCAACCCTATCAAAGAGGCAGCAGTGTAGGAGAAGAGGATACAACCGCTTAACAAACAGGAAAAATAATGTGAAAACCATTCGGTTTGGTGGCGGCGCCACCCGTTCATGGAGGTTCAGATTAACCCCAAAACTTGGCCTGAAAATCGCTTCGCCATTGAAATTATGGTTCAAGCTGAAGAACGCTTACATGAACATGATGCTAAAGTTGGCTACAAGCACAGGAACCTCAAAAAGTGGAAATATGTTTGGTGCAAAGAGAGTCCCAAAGGTACGCCAGGCTCCCACGGATTATTCAAGAACTGAGTTCGACAACAGATTAATCCATGAGATATACAAGTCCATGGTGGCTTCACTGGAATTGTCTTCTACCAGATAGAACAGAACAAAAAAGTGGTTTTGTTATTTGCTTATTTGTATTTTTTACGTTTACTTCACTGCTCGAAAATTCTGATATGGCGACCAGAAAAATGATGGGATCGGGGATGGATTAGACGGATATATTTTAATTTACTTTTTGTCAAATTGAAGTTTGATCCGGTAAGATTTTATTTCGTGTATGTGAAGACAAGTCTATACTTCTTTATTTATCTTTTATCTACATTGAAGTAACTTAAAATTTTAAAGGGTTTAAATAAAAAGGGTGGTTAGAGCAACCTCCAATGCAATACTAGAAGTTTTGGAATTGAGATATGATTTGATACTTCTTCCATGATTCGTCTGGATTTACGTCGTATATCAAAGGATTATGATTTTGAAGGTCATTCACTATGAGAAGATCTCCAATCATGTTACATTGCCAGAAAATCTTAACATAATGACACATGACAGTCTGTTATTGACCAATTTAAGAAAGCAAACAGTTTTTCCATCAATTATTCATTACCACAAATGCATATGTCAACCAAGGTGGTAAATTCATCTAGTAAGAAAACATTATTCAAAGATCTTACCCCGAGTGGAGATTTCGTATCCAGAGATTAGTATGAGATAAAAGCTATTTTAAATTTTATTTTATCATCTAGTTTAATTTAGCTAAGTTAGGGTATATTTTTCTTTCGACCTAAGTAATGAATGGACTAATCATAAAAAATGGAGAGATTTCTTTCAATTCTTTAGAAAAAGAATATTTGACGTCAACCAAGGAACACATACTAATTCTATCAAAGTTGGTTAGAGACAATTGGTTTTGAAGTTAATTATTATTCTACTGAAATGTTTAATTTGTTGTCGTTGTCGCTGTTGCTGTTGGCATGACTTTCGACTTTCTTTAGTGCAATACGTATAATCAAAGATGCAATCCTATATTTCAAGGCTATTTAACCACAATTTTTAGTTAGTGACAACAACGTGTGGAACATATTTGTTATTTATAATTTTTCATCGACAAGATTCTGCAGGATTTCTTTCCTAGGATTGAGTTGCCAACACCAACCGGACTAATGGTGGGGATAAATGACTACTCGAACTCACCAAACTAGATGGGACGTGGCCAGAACTAAGCCTTTTTAAAAAATAAAAAATAAAAAAATCAGACAACCCTACTTGTGGAATATTAATTAATACGAGAATAAACATACAAATTTTGAAGGTGTAAGAATGATTTTGGTACTTTACACAGAAAATTAGATGGTGCCAGGTGATAATCCTAAAAATCTCGTAACTTTTTGAGAATTTCAATTTATAGACGCCACAACAACATGCTCTTCTGGTCTTCTTTCTCGTTCAATATACTCATAGTCGAAGTCCAATATCCAAACTGTAGAATATTCTTCCTAACTCGCAGCTTCGATTTCGTAGCCTTCTTCTCTGTTTCTCCTCTTATCCCATCCCAGATCGTACTTCCCTCATCGATCATGGTTGAGGAAAAAGTGAGATGTATAAATAAAAGTCCCATATCAGTTAGACTTGGTAAAGAAAATGTGCTCCTCAAAAGCTATGAAGATAACAACATTCAACAGTAAGCCGACAAGGCAACGACAATATATTAATAAACCAAAAAGGAAAAAAACATAAAGCATAAGTTTGTTAAAAAATAGCATATTTAAAATTTCATTTAGTAATTAAACTATTATAAATTCTGAAACTTTCCATTTTTTGAAATTTTAATTGAAGATCTATATAAAATTGTATATTTTCTTTAGACAATTAAATTTTTTTTAACACTTTAAGATAATGTAGCCCATGTTTGATAAACATTATTTCAAAATTCTTTAATTCTTATACTCATTTTTAATTATATATTTATACAATAAAATATTTTGCACATAAATCCAAAAATTTTCCTTACTTTTTAACTATACATTTTTTAAAAATCGTTATTCAAAACTTAATTTTTTCAAAATAATGACCATCAAATAAGAGTGTAATAACAAGTATACACACATATGTACAATATTTAAAAAGGAAGGATTGAACAGAAACTTTGAATATCAATTTTATCCATATATATTTAGCTATAGATCAAAAATACCATTAACACCTATTGTATTTTATTTAAGAATTATTCTACTTGTACACAAGGAACTGAAAGACTGAACATATGTACACTAATTATAATATTGTTACCACAGAATAAGCAGTTGTGGTATAGAGCGACAATAGTCTTAAAAAATAAGATAATACAAATGAAGTACTCATATAGAAAGAAAAATAAAGTCATATACATCTAACATATAATTCCATCGACTCTACTCGACTAATTCAAAACATGACTAAGTAAATAGGAATAAAACGTAGGTTCTTGGAAAGTCTTTAAACAGTTTAAATTATAAATATATATAATTGAGTGGTGGATGAGTAGATACTATTTGTAAATTTTTCGAAATATATGGATAGAAATGGCTTGATTCTTTATAAACGTGAGCCAAACATAGGCATGTGATTCAAAGATCCGTGATATGCTTTCACTTGGTCTGTTGTAATATTTATTTTTGGTGAATGTTTGGTTAAAAAATAGAAATAAAAAAAATTGGGTTTATGTGTAAAATCATTTTATGGAAGAAAATTCGATCAAAAATGAGTTTTCGTGGGAATCAAACAGGGGCTTTGTAAAGAGAGTCATGCTATGCATGGGCCCCACCCCACTCACATGATATGAACTTTTATGTGTACATCTATGTATACATAAATTAATCTTTGTAAAGAATCTAATGGAATTCTCCTTCGGCATGTGATTGTGCGGGTGACGCATTTGATTATGTACATGGAGACATAAACGCAAGGTTAGACTTAACAAAGATGAATTATTGACACAAGTTCGGAAGTTTCAAGAATGATAATTACTGTGAAAGTGACAATGAGACTGAAAATATCTTACACGATGCTTGGCAACGAAGAGCATGACAATATCAAGAAGCATAGGCTAGATTTTATTTTATTTTATTTTATTTTTTCCAATGTATTCCCTGTATTTTAGTCTTACGGACACATTTGATTTCTCTATTGCTAATTTCAGTTTCTATTCAAGCATGAGATTAAAACAATTACACTAACTACTAATTTAATGTTATCAAAACTGTCATTTGAATTCATCTCCTATTCACTACAAACTTTAAGTGACTTTAAATGCAATTAAGTTCTCAAGAGAAAGTAAAAATTGGATCTTAAAGCCATTCTCATTGCATATAAATATCTAACCTCTCCATTTCTAATTTCTCAAATTGGGTTTCAAGCTCGGTACAAACACATAGAAAAGAAAGATTCAGCCATTGGATTATACCTTCCAGTTCAAGAAAATGTCTAACGCCAGAACCATGCAAGCAATTGTCCTTATATTTGCATGCATTTCGGCCATGTCTGCACCAAACTTTGCACAAGTATTTGGTGGAGGTCTCCCCACTGGTCTCCCCACTGGCCTCCCCACTGGCTAGGTGTAGGTGTAATTTCCTCTAAAGAAAATGTGCTCCTCAAAAGCTATGAAGATAACAACATTCAACAATAAGCCGACAAGGCAACGACAATATATTAATAAACCAAAAAGGAAAAAAACATAAAGCATAAGTTTGTTAAAAAATAGCATATTTAAAATTATATTTAGTAATTAAACTATTATAAACTCTCAAACTTTCCATTTTTTGAAATTTTAATTGAAGATCTATATAAAATTGTATATTTTCTTTAGACAATTAAATTTTTTTTAACGCTTTAAGATAATGTAGCCCATGTTTGATAATCATTATTTCAAATTTTTTTAATTCTCATACTCATTTTTAATTATATATTTATACTATAAAATATTTTGCACATAAATTCAAAAATTTTTCTTACTTTTTAACTATACATTTTTTAAAAATCGTTATTCAAAACTTCATTTTTTTCAAAATAATGACCATCAAACAAGGGTGTAATAACAAGTACACACATATCTACAATATTTAAAAAGGAAGGATAGAGCAGAAACTTTGAATATCAATTTTATCCATATATATTTAGCTATAGATCAAAAATACCATTAACATCTATTGTATTTTATTTAAGAATAATTCTACTTGTACACAAGGAACCGAAAGAGCGAACATATGTACACCCTAATTATAATATTGTAACCATAGAATAAGCAGTTGTCGTATGGAGCGACAATAGTCTTAAAAAATAAGATAATACAATTGAAGTACTCATATAGAAAGAAAAATAAAGTCATATACATCTAACATATCTAATTCAAAACATGACAAATTAAATAGGAATAAAAAAGTAGGTGCTAGGAAAGTCTTTAAACAGTTTAAATTATAAATACATATAATTGAGTGGTGGATGAGTGGATACTATTTGTAAATCTTTCGAAATATACGGATAAAAATGGCTTGATTCTTTTCAAACGTGAGCCAAACATAGGCATGTGATTCAAAGATCCGTGATATGCTTTCACTTGGTCCGGCTGAGCTACCCCTTTCGAGAAAAATGAATTTTGTAATATTGATTTTTGGTGAATATTGTTTGGTTAAAAAATAGAAAAAAAATTGAGTTTATATGTAAAATCATTTTATGGAAGAAAATACGATCAGAAATGAGTTGAAAAAAATGAGTTTTCGTGGGAATCAAACAGGGGCTTTGTAAAGAGAGCCATGCTATGCATGGCCCCACCCTATTCACATTATGTGAACCTCTATGTGTACATCTATGTACGCATAGATTAATCCTTGTAAAGAATCTAATGGCATTCTCCTTCGGCATGTGATTGTGCGGGTGAGGCATTTGATTATGTACATGGAGACATAAACACAAGGTTAGACTTAACAAAGATGAATTATTGACACAAGTTTGGAAGTTTCAAGAATGATAATTACTGTGAAAGTGACAATGAGCCTGAAAATATCTTACACGATGCATGGCAACGAAGAGCATGACAATATCAAGAAGCATAGACTAGATTTTTTTATTTTATTTTTTCCAATGTATTCCCTGTATTTTAGTCTTACGGACACATTTGATTTCTCTATCGCTAATTTCAGTTTCTATTCAAGCATGAGATTAAAATAATTACACTAACTGCTAATTTAATGTTATCAAAACTGTCATTTGAATTCATCTCCTATTCACTACAAACTTTAAGTGACTTTAAATGCAATTAAGTTCTCAAGAGAGTAAAAATTGGATCTTAAAGCCATTCTCATTGCATATAAATATCTAACCTCTCCATTTCTAATTTCTCAAATTGGGTTTCAAGCTCGGTACAAACACATAGAAAAGAAAGATTCAGCCATTGGATTATACCTTCCAGTTCAAGAAAATGTCTAACGCCAGAACCATGCAAGCAATTGTCCTTATATTTGCATGCATTTCGGCCATGTCTGCACCAAACTTTGCACAAGTATTTGGTGGAGGTCTCCCCACTGGTCTCCCCACTGGCCTCCCCACTGGCCTGCCCACTGGCTTGTTAGGTTTTAACAGTTTGGGTCTGCCACAAGTTTTCCGGTGCATCCCCAATGTTTCAACCGCACCGAAGTGTGTCGATAAATTGCTGATAGCCAGCTTCAACCTTCAACTTGAATTGCTTGATCCTGAATGTTGCGATGTATTCTTGCAAGTTGATGAAAATTGTTTGTCAGAGGTGATGATGCCTGTGAATCCAATGTTTCCATCGATTTTCAAGAACTATTGCGGGTCGATACGGAATTGAACAATATTACAGGGTGCTAAGAAATACTTCACGAAATATTAGTAATAAAGTTGTTAAACTTAAGGGGATGCTGATCCTTTTTCTCTTCTGCATTTTTTTTTCTGAACTTTTTTATTCCCTCTCTTCTACTGTGGAAGAGATTGTTAGACGATATAGTCAAGGATAACGTTTCAGCAAATTAGAAGTAACGCTAGTTTTTTTTTTTTGTTCTTAACTACTTGAAACGAATAAATCTGTCTTTCAGGAAAATTAGATGTGTGAAATGAGATTGGTCGGAATATTGAAGCATTAAGGAACATAATGACATGAATGAAGAAACGTCATGTAATGGCATGTCATTCTAACATTTTGAGTAATGCTATCTATCATTAGAAAAATACATCATCGATCAAGTGACAATATCAATGAAATTGTAATTTACTTTAATGCATTGGACAATGAAGCAAGAGAACAATTACCACCTAACTGGTGACGCATCTTTATTAATAATACATATAATTGTACCAACAATTTTAGGTGATTCTATCAATGTCGCAAGACATGGCATGCTATTCACTACGTATGGAACGCCAAGTTGTGAGTGCCACGATAGAGTAATATTACGTAGCCCAAATGGTATTTTAACACTAATCTATATGACACTATTTGGTAGGTCTAATTAAATGTAGTCCCATAACGCCATATTTAATTGAACTTATAATGCCACATAAACGGGTGTTTTTAAACCAGTTGGGTAATATAGCATCATTCGCTCGGATATGTTATAAAAATCAGTGACCGATGAATTTGCTACAACATCTTTACGAGTTGAGAAAAATTTATGATTGTGAGTAAATATGAATTTGAAAATAATAAACATGAGCCAAAGAGCGTTACATTCCTAAACTGTGCTGGATAGTACAAGCAAGTAGACATCAACGATTAATTTCACAACATAAAGATCTTATTGGCGAATATTTGGACATCAACAATGAATCTTTTTTAGTAATTGTGTATGAATCATGCTAACAACGGGCTAAAACCTTAGTATCATGTAGGCATATGTATACATGCAACATTAATATATGAGATGCCTCCCTCCAACGTGAAAGGACGAGCTTTGAGGTTGTCATTTCTAGTGTGTTCCTCAAATTTATACTAGAGGAACTCTGAAATCCCATTCTTAATGGAGACTTCATGAGGTACTGCAGCCCTATAGTTTTTTTACTCGGAGGTTTTTTGCATTATAAATTAGTTGTGTTTATTGTGTATATATATATTAAGCTATATGTTCTATTTGATATTAAAATCGTTCTAAGTCACGAGAAAAAAAGTACTTTATTCTGGTATTATTTCGTGTTTTGTTGCCATTAGTGTTTTTCTCATGTTAAGTCGTGCCTTTAACTCTAGAAATCAAGCGAATTCATGAATTCGTGGTTTTCTAGTTTCATTCAAAATTCCTTCTACGCTTTAGCCCTTAATATAAAATTTTCTCTAGAATATATACCCAAGGAAAAGATAAATGATGAGTGCTCCACACTCATGATAGTTATGACACTTAATTCATTATTTTGTTACCATTGAGAAAGTTTTAGAGTGTTTTTATGTGTGTTTTAATGTTGTGATGTAGGTTGATGAAATTGAAGAAAATAAGCAAAAGTTGACATGCAAAATTTTAAGTTTGGGTGTATTTGATGAGTGTTCTACACTCATGATATTTATGTCACTTAATTCGTTATTTTGTCATTCTTGAGAGAGTTTTAGAGTGTTTTTATGTGTGTTTTGATGTTGTGATTTAGGTTGGTGAGATTGAAGAAAATAAGTAAAAGTTGACAAATTTGGAGAAATTGGTAAATTGTAAGAAATCCAAAGTTCGGAGACTAAAGTGCAAATACTTAAAAGTTGTGCCGAACCTCACGATGAAGATTTGAGAGTGCTCGGAGTCAATTGGATGATGAAAGATGTCAAATGGATCAAATTTAGTCAAAATATAATCACAAATCAATTTCCAACCGAAAAGTTATGCTACGAAATTTTAGTCTCATATTGAGACCATTTTTGGCATAGCAAATGATCGAATTGGAGAATTATTTCTAAAAAAAAGTTGTATCCCTTTAAGTTAGCTTTCTAAAACATCTTGAATCACCTCAATTGGACATCAGACGAAAAAGTTATGATAAAAATATTGAAAGACGCGCAGAACAAAAAAGGGGACAAAGAGGTACCAGCAATCCGACGCCAGCGACAGAGAGGGTGGAGCCGCGGCGCCAGCCATTAGGCACCGAGGCGCCGTCGGGTGCGAGAAATGTGTTTTTATATTTTTGAAATCTTTTCTTGGCCCAATTCAACCCTAATTTGTCCCTAAACTATAAATACAAGTGANAAAAAAATGCAATTTTTATATTTTTTCGGTCCGGCCCAACTCCAATCCGTGTTATTATCTATTGAGGCTATAAATACAAGTTTAAAGACCTAATTCAATGGTAGAGAAGATGGCTTATGAGGAAACACAAATAATGGAAGAAATCAATTGAAAAAAGCATGGAAATATCAAAGGGGACTTCGACCAACACTCCAAAAAAAGTTTTTCTTACCTTCTCATTTATGTTATCCATTGTAGATTGTTTAGATTTTATGAATTTTTTCATGAGCTAAAAAATTTATTTAGGGTTTGATGTAGCCACTTGAGATTATAGTTTGATGAATATATAAATTATTTCTTTTGGAATTTCTCGCTTATATTTAATTATGTTATGATTTTAATACTTTCAATTACCTGATCAATAATTGAATGAATAGATGCAAGTCAATTCCGACACTCGAGAGAGAGAAATGTAGGCTTGATCATAAGATTGACACAACGTAGGTTTAGTGGATTACGAGAGAAATTGTAAAATCTATGAAACTTACTACACAAAAGCATCGGGAATTCGATAAATTCTAAAC